CAAATAAATAAATAAAATCTTAAAAAAAAAAAAAAAAGAAAATGTTTCGAACATCCTCAAGTGATGTTTTACCTAACTTACTCTAGAAATGATGTAAAGCTGCTTAAAAGAATACATAATATCCCAACAACAACAAAGAAAGCAAGCACAAGAGAACAAAATTTTCAAACTGGTGATTTGGGATTTTTTTCTTTGCGCATAAGAAGGCCAGGTTCAACATATTGACTCTTGTTAGTTTGATGTAATTTTAAGAACTTTGTTTTCTTCCCAGACATCGATTTTTACTCCAGCCTTTGGATCAGAAACTAAGGTCAGAATAAACAGTAATATGAGGACTGAAGACGTAATAGAGCAACTTCTCCAAAAATTTAAGGTGATCTTTATTATGAAACTGAGCTACAACTCTCTTGAATATAATTTAACTGTAGATACACAAATGCACTCTTCTGAAAAAGACCTATGAACATGTAAATCTAAATTAAGTTGTTCAGTTCTGAAGAATCCTCTTATGTATCACATCTTTTCATAATTGAGCCTTGAGAAATTACATTATTCCTAGGGAGTAGAGAAGTTTTCATGTCTAAAAGTGCAAAATGAAAGTGAGGAAACAGGTAGGTAATCTGGGTCTGGTTAGCTTAGAAAACATCTGACAATGACCAATCCATCAAATATGAAAGAATTCATGTTCTTTTATTTTTTTTTCCATTGACAGATTGAAAATAGTGCCCAAGATTTTGCACTTTACATTATTTTTGCAACAGGAGGTAAGCTTGATCACTCTTTTAATAGGATTCCGGGATGGTGTAGTTTTCTGCCCGTAGGGAAGGCAGAAGAGCAGTTAAACCTCATTCTGTGGAAGAAAGGGAAGGAAAGGAGAAAGAAGGAAAAGGGGAGGGTGTTTTAGAAGGTTATTTATATTTCACAATTTCAGAGGAAGATGACTCAAGAATAAGGTACCCTAGAAGAGCTTATAATACAAAAGAGTTTGCTTGTTGGCCAGACATTTAATTACCTGAATGTCAGTCAGAGCCCCGGGGTGGGGCAGGGGGGTTGTCTGTGAAAGTTCCCAAGAATTGTTATGCATTGAAGTCCTTGATTCCTATACCTCTTTTTGGCTTTCCCTTCTCATTCTACCTCTCACTGGAGTCATCAGTGCATAGCATTTCTCTTGTTATTACCGCTTTCTTAGCACAGTAACTGCCACACTGTTAGGAGTGTTCTCTCTCCCTCAGTAGAGGAAAATATGCACAACTCGGGGGTCGGGAGCAAAAGGTTAGCAGCAAGACATTGGGAAGAGGCTACATGTGGGGTGCTGAGAGCAGGGATGAAAGAGAGATTAGAGGAAAACTAAGGCAATACTGAATGAAATTTTTGAAAACCCTAAAATTGTTAAATTGTAGAAATATCTCCAGTTATAGTTTGTCAGAATGTTTGAGTTGGAAATTGAGCAGAATAAAATAATTTTTGAAGCCAGGACAACTGTAAGAAAATGAAAGTTGGGTCTTTAAAAATATACAAGAGTAAAGCCCTTATAAATCGAAAGCTTAAAGTATAAGAAATATAATATAGATTTTAAAAATCCTAAGGGTGTGTGTACATATATATTCATATTCTCCTTGTTTAGGAAAAAACTAAAAGGTATAAAATAAAAAGCAGAAATAGACTGTATAAAAATGTAAAAGACACAGAGTAGATTATGAAAACTATCAGATAAAAGATAAATACCTATAATATCAGAGTTCTTGCAAAATTATAACAAAAAGACAATTCAATGAAAATAGAACCCACAATGCTAATATTATCTCACATTTAGCAGATTGGCAATATGTTTCAGAAGGATTCTACCTATGTCTGTGTGGTGAAGGGTAAAAGGGTATTTTCATGCAACTCTCGTGAAAATATGACTGTCTTTACTTTTTTGGAACTCATTCTAACATTATTAACATTTACAGGATACATATCCTTTAACCTGGCAATCCCACTGGTGGGAATCTACTCCACAAAAATAAAAGGACTAATACCTATAGATTTATGTGCAAGGCTATTTATAATGACAAAAAATTAAAGACAAAGTCACCTGTCATAGGAGAATGATTAAATAAGTTGTTGTTAGGCAGCCATTAAGTGCAGTGTGTTAGATGTATACCAGTTAAATGGAGGGAATTCCATAATATTGATTATAAAAAACTCAACATGCCTACAAATGTCTGTAATATGATCCCGTTTTTTTGAAAGAATTACAAATCCCGTTTCAATATGTGGTATATAAGATCATATGATCAGGGAGAAAGGTATGAAATAATAAATATCAAATCATGAACATCGATTACCCAGCTAGGGGGTTAGGGTGATATAGAGTAGAGTACAGAAAAAGGAGGAACACAGAAGCAAAAAAAAAAAAAAAAAAGTAAACCATTTTTAAAAACATGGCTACAATAAAAATAGCAAGTTTCACACGACCACCTTTATGTATTGTGTGTTTGTGTGTGCGCATAAAGACGTATACGAAGGGATGGCCACACGAAGGGTAAGGCTGATGGTCTCAAAGTTCTGGGATTCCAGGTGCTTTTTACTTTCTGTCTTACACTTGTCTCCGTAGTTTCAACTTATAATAGCATGTGTGGTTTTTTTAAAACTTTATTGAGGGATAATTGGGAATAATTGACAAATATAATTGTATATACTTAAAGTATATAATGTGATTATTTGATATACTTTTACATTATGGGATGATTACCAAGATCGAGATAATTAACACATCCGTCACATCACATAAAGCTTTGTGTGTGTGTGTGAGAGAGAGAGAAAGAGAATACTTCAGATCTACTCTCAGCAACTTTTGAACATACAATACCATATTATTAACTCTAGTCACCAAGCTGGACATTAGATCCTCAGAACTTATTCTTCTAATAACTGAAAATTTGTACCTCTCTCACTCTCTTTTCCCTCCCTGACAGAAGGAGTTATTTTTATCATCAGAAAAAAATGTCTATTTTTCACTGCAAAAATGTAGTTCTTTAAAATTTTATCTGTAAAAATCATGTTTTATTTATTTTTTCTTTTTTTTTTTTGGTGTCAAAAATTCTCGTACATAAACTCCAGAACAGAAGATAATCGTAACTAGCACCTGTTAGGGATCAGGAACAGAGAAAAGAATGGAACCTCTAGCACCTGTTAGGTATTAATCTGGAAAATAAAGACAGGTGTGTTTTAACACCTTGTATCCACTAAGCCCATGATCTATAACAGTGTTTTTCAAATTCTAGGGCATTTCAGAATTACCTGAGAAGTTCATTAAAAATACAGATCCCCAAGCCATCCAGATCCAAGAATCCCAGTCTGGGAATATGTATTTCTAATAATTATCCCGGAAGCAAATTCGTGAAGCAAGAAACCTTGCTCTGTAATATTAAGAATGCAACAAACCGAGGATGCAAAACCAAGTTAATGTAAGATGTAGAGGTCGGAAGAGGATTCTAGTGCGTGAATAAGATGAGCTAAATTATCGGGCTTCTCCCTCGCTTCAGAAATGTAGAGGAATTAAAGCAATGAACTCTGACTCTGTGGAAACAAGAATGGATAATATTAACTTTAATTTTGCTCTAGATCCTCTGCAATCCCACCCAGGGGATGAGAACAGTTCTGATTCTTAAAACTATTAAGAGCCCAAGGTAATTGATTTCATAAATGACAATGTAGAAAGGACTAACTTGTCTACCCTTTTCCCCTTTCAGTCTATTTCAACATAGCAGACAGACTGTTCTTTAACAATGTAAGACAGACCATATCACATCACTTCTCAAATCCTCCAGTGGTCTGTCTTCCACTGTTTTATGCTTCCAGAGTTTTATGCTGGTCCCACTACATGTTCTCTTCAACTTTGAATAACCCTTCCCTCATCTTCATGTTAGCCACCCTGGTCCCTTGCTGCTCTTTGATAGCATTAGGCATGCACTGACCTGTAGGATGACTGACTTATTTACTTACTCTGTTTGGGACACACTTCCCCCAAATAGCTCCATGATTCCATACCTCATCTCCTTCAGTCTTTATTTAAATATTATGTCTTCAGTGAGGCCTTTCTCAGCCACCCTATCCATAATTGCATACGTGTCCCCTGTACATACCTGTTTACACATACACATTCTTCTACCCCTTTCCTTGCTTTATTTTTCTTCTGAATACTTATCACTAATACATGATGTGTTTTATTGGTTTATCTTTCCTTAGCCTCTGTGTCCTCCACTAGAATGTAAGGTCCATGAGGGAAGTGATTTTATTCTGCTTTCTTTTATAAGGTGCCCAGCACAGAAAACAATGCCTGAAACATAGTCGGAACTCAAAAAATATTTGAGGAAGGAGAAAAGGAGATGAATGTAAGGGCACTGTGTTCTGTTCATGTTTCATTCTGATAAAAATGAAATTGCGGATGTGAAACTATTTTGACAGAAAGCTGGAAGTGCTTCGGTGGGTGGGAGTATTTATAACTTTTGGAAATTTGAAGTTCTGGAAATATGCCAGATTGGAAGTTACTTTCTTTCTCATCTCATTATTATGGCTGAATGGGTGAAGCTGTCAGATGAATGAAATAATAAAAATACCCATGATGTGAAAAACATTATGAATATATTTTCTTCTTAGATTTTATTTATTTATTTGACACAGAGAGAGAGAGAGCATGCACACAAGCAGGGGTAGGGGCAGAGGAAGAGGGAGAAGCAGACTCCCGGCTGAGTAGGGAGCCCAACGCTGGCTTGATCCCAGGACCCTGGAGCCATGACCTGAGCCGAAAGCAGACACTTAACTGACTGAGCCACCCAGGCGCCCCTATGAATATATTTTTAAGGAAGATCCCAGGATTGGATTGGGGTGAGAAACAAGGGAATCATTGAAGATAATTACAAAGTTTTGGACCTGAACAACTGGGAAGATGGAAATACAGTAACTGAACTAGTAAAGAATCAATAAAAATTTGTTGAATGAATGAAAAATTATAAAGTTTTTGGGTGTGTTGCTTGATAAAAGCATAAGTAGAACTAATTTGTCTGAACATCTGAACCAAAGGCAAGGCTGAATTAGAATCTGAGATACAGGTCAAATTTAAGAGATAGCAAGAGAAAGGAGTCCATTTGTAGTTTTGGTTTTTTTTAAAGGTTTTGATTTAATTTACTCATCTGAATAAGTGCCTCCTGTTGTATGTTTTTAGGTCTTCTTCCAGCGTGAGCTGAAGAAAGAAAATGAGCGGACAGCGTATCTTTCTTTCTCTAGGATGGATCCCTGACTATGGTTGGTTCTTGTTTTCCTTTGCAGAGCAGAGACGGCTAAAGAAGACAGATGTCCCACTGCTGCATAGGCTCTTGCAGGGACCTTCCAAAGACAATGCTCGCATTTTCCTCATGGAGAAAGATGCAGAAGAAATTAGCAGTGATGTATGGATCCTGTCACCCCAAATCTGTCTTTGCTTTCTCCTGACTCAGCACCTCGCACAGAATCTGCTTTCTTTTTGGTTTCATTTTGTTTTTTCCCTTTCCAGGTGGCTCAGTACATTAACTTTCATTTTTCTCTCCTGGAATCCATCCTTCAAAGATTAAATGAAGAAGAGAAGAGAGAGATCCAAAGAACAATAACCAAGTAAGTCAGGAGCATGCATGCCGGGTGCCTATTCCTTTAATAGGTCCAGGGCACAAAATGGGTTCAGTTTTTAATAACTCTTTTTCTCCTTCTCATTTTCAGATTCAGTACAGAAAAGGCTATTATACTGAAATGTCTTCACAGTAAACGGGTAGGAAAAACGGAGACAGCGGTTTAGCAGTACAAAGCTGCAATTGCTAAAACACTCCAAGAGAATCAGAGGGATATTACTATTTGATGAATGCATGCATTCCACCCTTGCATGCATACAAATATATATGAACTGGAATCTGTGGGAAACTGAATGTCGAAAAAGCTTGTCTCCCTTTGAAGTGATGAGGTTAACTAGGGTTCACAGTTGCACTGAAAGGGGCTTGAATTTAGTTTCAGTAGCTGAAACAAGCTTGGATACTGTGTATTCCAAATACTTTAATAGTAAAACACTCAGTGAACTCGAATCTAAATGGTGTCTTCAGATGTCATGTAACTGAAGCTTCTTTTAGCTCAAACTGTCAAGGGAACTAGAGCATCATCAACTGATTCTCAGAAATGATTCAGAAGTAGAACTGATTCTGCAATGATTCAGAAGTGAGCACACTGAGCATTGCCAGCTCTTGAAATAAAAAAGAAGCACATTCTCACCCTACCAAGGAATCGGGGCGGAACAGTGTTTCGCAGCTCCCTGAAAACTCCAGCATCTTTACGAAATCCAGGACTGTCTCTGTATGGTCGGTGGCTTTTGGCTATCTGTAACATTAGAGCTATCTGTCCTTTGGGATGGAAAAGCTTATGGGCTCTGTTAAGAAACCTAAATTGCAATTTTCTCAACCTGAGCCCTTTTATACCCCACTCTGTTCTACTCAAGACTTTCAAAAGTATTCTTAAGCATTTTTAATGTCAGTTGAAGTAGTTTTCTTTATTTTTCCAAACAAGTATGCCACAGAGATTTAATATATTTAATCAGCTAGGACAAGATTTGGCCCACAGTAACCATTTGTTGCCAAATGAACACAACGGATAATGCAGAACTTGTAGCTGAAGGTAGGCAAGGGATCTGGAGTTCTGCTCTTTTTCTCCAAGACAACTCAGTCCATGAGACAACTGTCAAGGTACTTAAAAGTCAGCTGAAAGCAATTGGAAAACAAACAAACACTGAGAATGCCACAAGTATCATCTATGATTTTATTTATGAACTCTACGTTAGAATGGAGTTTTAAGCAACACTGTTCGATTCTCTAAACTATGTCCATTTGCATTCCTCCTAAGCATTGTATTAAATTGTTTGGGCACATTACATGTACTAAGGGAGAAGGGTTGTATGTAATAAGCCCAAGCTGGAAGATTAATTATCAAAATTAAAATGCAACACCTTTTTAAGATAAAGGTATTACTTCTTAGTGGCACCAAAACCGAAACCGAAACCAGATCAAAGTAAAAGTGGGCTATGACCTTCAAGTCCTAGGAAATCTTCTCTTGAGGAAAACAGAGGCTTGCTTCACTATCCTTCCAGCTATCAGTTAATAAGAAAATGATCTCATCTTGCCAAAATGGGGCAAATGAAATAGTTAAAATTCAGTATACTTATAAAAAATTTTAAGTAGTGTCAAGTGCCTGCCATAAATGACAGATTAATCATTAATATATTGAAAGCCTACAAGATACGTAAGAAAAATACCAAGATGTGGATAGAAAAAAAAAAGAAACCACATAAAAAGTAAAATCACAGGAGAGGAAATACAAATAGCTACTAAGTGTGTGTGTGTGTGGGGTGGGGACTTGTATCTTAATGGTGATCAACTGTATTAGTCTGTGTCCAATAAGGAGACAGAAACACAGTAATTTAAGCAGAAGTTTAATATAAAGAATTGAGCTAGGATGATAGGAGAATAGAAAGAAAGAGAGCTCTAAAAGGTACCGTAAGGCTGAGGAAGAGGACCCCCAAAAGGGAAAGTTTGGAATCAGGGGTTTGGAATTCACCAGAGAGGCTGTGGTTGCAGCCCATGGTAGAGGAGAAGTTTGCTGCTTGCCAGCGCCACAGTCATAGGACAAACGAGAACAGCCTTTTGGGGTGCGGAGCAGCTGGGGTAAGTGGGCACGTGTGCAGAGGGCCTTGGGGATTCTCTGCAGACCCAAGGCCCAGATCACATCGTGTCTGTGTCTGGAGGTCTGCGGGAAGTTTGGAGGCCCAAAGAAAGAATCGGGTACTGCTGCAGGTGTGCCTGGACTAGGAGCTAAAGGGGCTTCCTTTGCAGGAACCCAGTGCAACTCTGTGCATGATTTGGGCAGCAGTGTCTACGAAGCTGAGGACGGGGAGCAGAGAGCAGAGATTTGTGCGAGGGCATAGACCTGCACTCAGCTCCAGGCTGTGCCACCACAAACAAAATAAAAAGCTGGAGAAGGGGTTGGGGACACAAATGGGAAAGAAAGCTGCACAGGCAACTAGCCCTGGAGAAAGCACACTGGGCAAAGCAGTGGAGGAAAAAAGTCCACCTCCCAGAAGCCTTGCCAGTCCGCCCCTGGAGTCAGGAAAGCCCAAACTTCCTCCTACAGTGTTTCTTCAGCGCCCTCTACTGACGAAGCACATCATGCAAAACGTAAAGGAAGCACATTTAAAGGGTCCATATCCATTTTCACAGAACCAACAGCTGTGAATGAATTTGGAGCCCAGAGTCAATAAAATACTTTTGGTCTATTAGCAAAGATTAAGAAATGATACTAAATACTCAATAAATTACAATGAGATAACCACTCCAGCTACTGGTAGAAATACGAATGGATATAACTTTTCTTGAAAGCAATTCGGTAGTTCGTCCTATAATTCAACTTATAGGATCTTATATTGAAATAATCAGGCATACAAAGAAATTATGCAAAGATACTTATTATATTGCTATTGTGGTAAAAGGAAGAAAATAACCTAAATGATCAAAAATAGAAAGAAATGATTAAAGAAGGGAAAAAAATTTCCCCAAGAATGGTATGCAGCTATTAGAATCATGTTTCCAAATAAACTTTAATTATAGAAGAAAATTCTTCTTACATATCTAAGTAAGAATATACATACAAATACTCAAAATATCTCTTACCCGTAAAATGTTTATGTATGTGTGTGTGTGTACACTACATACAAACCAAAAACACATTAAATATGGTTATATCTGGGTTATAGAATTACGGGTGAATCATTTCTTATTTTTCCATGCTTATTAAATTATTCTATAATCAACACATGTTACTTTTCAAATTTGGAATAGAAAAGTTATGATTAGAAAGTTACCAACCAGGGGCGCCTGGGTGGCTCAGTTGGTTAGGCGTCTGACTCTTGCTTTCCACTCAGGTCATGACTGCAAGGTCTTGAGATGGAGTCCCACATTGGGCTCTGCGTTCAGTGTAGAATCTGCTTGAGATTCTTTCCCCTTCCTTCTCCCTCCTCCTCTACTCCTCCCCCTGCTCACACTCTCTCTCTAAAATAAATAAATAAAATCTTTAAAAAAGAAATTTACTAACAAAAAGTAGCAAGTACATGTAAGCACAGAGTTCTACTAGATACAAAAACATCAAAGTATTTAGTAAGACATTAACTTCACTTCTGTGGTAGTTTTAAAATATATTCATAAAGCCTTTGATATTCCTCCTTTCAAGAGGTAGGACCTAATCCTCCTCACCTTGCAAATGGACCGGACTTAGGGACTCAATCCTAATGAATAGAGGAAAGCAGAAGTGACAGTGTGTGACTCTGGGGCTGGGTCACATAGCACTGTGGCATCCTCCTTGCTCACTCTCTTGGATCATGGGCTCTTGGGGAAGCCAACTACCATGCTGGGAGCAGCCCTGGAGAAAGGCCTGCATGATGGGAATGGAGACCTTTGCCAAAGTCTGCAACAACCAAGGCCTCCTGGCCCCATGTGCTGGCCCCAGTCAAGCCTTCAGATGACATAGCCCTGTCTAACCGTTTGACTACAACCTCCTGAGAGACCCTGAGCCAGAAAACCCAGCTAACCCACTCCTGGATTCCCGATCCTCAGAAAACCAGTGAGATAAGAAATGTTTGTTGCTGCTAAATTTTAGGGTAATTTGTCACATAGCAATAGATAACCAATACAATTTCTGAGACAAAAATTTATTCGGAAGCATCTTTGCATAATACGAGAACATAAACTTTTGTCATAAAACTCTTTATCCTTGTTCTCGGTGGCTCGAATATTTCACTACCAGTTACATATTAGTTCAAATTCGATCCCAGATAATGTTAATACTTACTAATGGTAGAGGACCTGTTACATTCATCTTTGTATACTTCACTGTACTTAATGTTGTGTCTTGTGTATAGGATGCGCTTGATAAAAATCAACTGAATAAAAGACTTAATGACCTAGTGGATCAGTGAGTAAAAGAGTGAGTGAATGAGTTATAGGAAATATTTTTTTCTAAAAATCTCCTGTATATATGCCTCCTTTTCACAAATCTGACCCGGTAGCTAAAGAAATATAGAATCTTTTCTGTCTGGTTTCCCCAAATTTGGTGGTATGTTTTATTATCTCTTGGCTATATGAAATATTCAGTTAGGCAGTGTTGCTATGGAATTTTGTTTAGGGCCATTCATGTCGGTTTCAGGAACTGAAGGAGAAAGAAGTCCATTTTCAAGGCAGTTGATGAGGTAGAAAAGATGGCAGGCGTAAGTGTGATGTTGCTGTATCTACATGTGAAAGGAAAGGAATGGGATGCAGTTAGGACAAAACCCCAATGGCACCCATTTGTCTTCTAAATAAGAATAGCTAACACCTATTAGATTGAGCCATTTGAAATTGTCAAGATTTAACCTACAAAAGCAGCAATTTCAGTTTACTCACACCAATAGCACTTGCCACTTGCCAAGAAGTGTTTTAAGCTTTACATATATTAGCTGATTTAGTGTTTATTATAGTCCCACGAAGAAATGACCCTTTCAACCCAATTTTATAGATGAAGAAGAAAACCAGCCATGGAGAAGATAAGAGATTTGCTAAGGTCTTTAGTAGAAGAGCTAGGTAGGATTTGAATCATGCTCCAGAATCCACCATTTTAACCGCTATCATCTATGACCTCACTCTCAACTACACTCTCTCAGTCGCAGTGGACAGGTGACAATCTACTTCAGTGGACAGTTGTGGGAGTTGTAGGAGTAACACGTGCCAAAGGTGGCACTTTACATGTAACACGTGTGATAAATTTTAGCTGTTGTTGTAATTAAACTACAGTATGCCCCAGCCACCGTTGTATCCCTATCTTCCACTAGGTCTTACTGCCCACAACTACTTACCTTTTGTCTTAAAACCAGCCAAACTGAATCACTCACCATTCCTCGGAATACCTCACACCCCACCACATCTCTATCTGTTTAAACCCTGCCCAGTTTCTAGTCCTTGGCCATGGTCACTCCCTCCGTGACTTTTCCTGGTCTCTGTGACAATGTGTGATCTTAGACTCCCGGGCATCACATTATCAGTCAGCTCTGCTCTTGTGACACTGAGAGTTTGAAATCTGCCTTTTGTTATAATTCCTTATGTGATTGTGTCTTGTATAAATTCATTAGTTATCTGGTTTTAGTATATTCGTGTTATGCTCTATAGCACCTAGCAGTGTATGGAATACATAGGAACTTAAACGTTTCTTTGGATCTAATTTGCTAATGTATATGAACATGTTGAAATCACTGGAGTGAGGAAAAACTCTTTAAAATCAAGTGAAGTGGGGGCACCTGGGTGGCTCTGTCGGTTAAGCATCTCACTTTGGCTCAGGTCATGATCCCAGTGTCCTGGGATTGAACCCTGTGTCAGGATTCACCCTTAGCGGGGAGTCAGCTTGTCCTTTTCCCTCTCCCCCCCATCCCTCCTCCCACTTGTGTGTGTGTATGCTTTCTC